AAGATCTGCGTGGTGTCTCACTCCGCTGGAGCCGCCAGCAGCCTTCGAAAGTGGCGACAATGTCGCAGATCGCAGTCCCCAAAAGACGGCGAGGTCCCGCTCAGATCTGCGCGGTGCCTCACTCCGCTGGACCCACCACCGGCCCTCGAAAGTGGCGACAATGTCGCAGATCGCAGCCCCCCAAGGACGGCGAGGTCTCCGTCAGATCTGCGCGGTGCCTCGCTCCGCTGGGTCCACCAGCAGCCCTCGAAAATGGCGACAAGGACGGCGAGGTCCCGCTCAGATCCGCGCGGTCCCTCACTCCGTTGGACCCACCAGCAACAATCGAAAGTGGCGACAATTTCGCAGATCGCAGCCCCCCAAGGACGGCGAGGTCCCGCTCAGATCCGCGCGGTGCCTCACTCCGCTGGATCCATCAACAGCCCTCGAACGTGGCGACAGCTTCGCAGATCGCAGCCCCCCAAGGACGGCGAAGTCTCGCTCGGATCCGCGCGGTGCCTCACTCCGCTGGACCCGCCAGCAACCCTCGAACGTGGCGACAACACCGCAGATCGCAACCCCCCGAAGGACGGCGAGGTCCCTTGCAGATCCGCGCGGTGCCTCACTCCGCTGGATCCACCAGCAGCCCTCGAAAGTGGCGACAATGTCGCAGATCGCAGCCCCCCAGGGACGGCGAGGTCCCGCTCAAGTCCGCGCGGTGCCTCACTCCGCTGGATTCGCCAGCAGCCCTCGAAAGTGGCGACAATGTCGCAGATCGCACCCCCCCCAATGACGGCGAAGTCTCGCTCAGATCTGCGCGGTGCCTCACTCCGCTGGACCCATCAACAGCCCTCGAACGTGGCGGCAGTTTCGCAGATCGCAGCCCCAAGGGACGGCGAGGCCTCGCTCAGGTCTGCGCGGTGCCTCGCTCCGTTGGGCCCACCAGCAGCCCTCGAAAGTGGCGACAATGTCGCAGATCGCAGCCCCCCAAGGACGGCGAGGTCTCCGTCAGATCTGCGCGGTGCCTCGCTCCGCTGGGTCCACCAGCAGTCCTCGAACATGGCGACAGGGACGGCGGGGTCCCTTGCAGATCCGCGCGGTGCCTCACCCCGCTGGATCCATCAGCAGCCCTCGAACACGGGGACAATTTCGCAGATCGCAGCCCCCCGAAGGACGGCGAGGTCCCGCTCAAGTCCGCGCGGTGCCTCGCTCTGCTGGACCCACCAGCAGCCCTCGCAAGCGGCGACAAATTCGCAGATCGCAGCCCCCCAAGGACGGCGAAGTCCCGCTCAGATCCGCGCGGTGCCTCACTCCGCTGGATCCACCAGCAGTCCTCGAACATGGCGACAATGTCGCAGATCGCAACCCCCAAGGGCGGCGAGGTCCCTTGCAGATCTGCGCGGTGCCTCACTCCGCTGGACCCACCAGCAGCCCTCGAAAGTGGCGACAATGTCGCAGATCGCAGCCCCTCAAGGACGGTGAGGTCCCGTTCGGGTCCGCGCGGTGCCTCGCTCTGCTGGACCCACCAGCAGCCCTCGCAAATGGCGACAGTGTCGCAGATCGCAGCCCCCCCCAATGACGGCGAGGTCGGAGACAGACACCGCAGGTAATATTCATACACAAGAAGTGCGCACGAGGCGAGAGGAGACAAACAGGAGGCAACATACGCGACCGCAGTGCTCTATTCAAAACGAATACCCAACCAAAGAAGGGTTGGGGAACATACAGTAGTCTAACCATAAGAGGGCGACGATGTTTCGACTGTGTTTGCCGATTCTGGATTTCAACAACAAGCGTTCAACTTTCGCTCAACCGTCGCCTGTAGGAGGACATGCCCGACCTAAAAATGAGACCCAACGCCCTCCTATCCCCTGTCCTGCCAGGAGGTCAAGCAAACGGAAGAGGAGGTAAGCGCGCAAGCGGCCCCAGTGCGACGCGGCAGCGCAGCGGGAGAGAGGGCTGTGCAGGTGGGGGAAAGGGGGGAGGGCGTGGGCGCTGTGGTGGCAGCCTGAGGCACTGCGACGGCGCAGCGGGCTGCGGAGGGCGAGCACGAGAGGTAGGAAGCAGTGGGCGGGTGGGGGGAGACGGGGTGGCCCGAGCGGCGCTCCGTGGGGGCTGCAGCCTCGGGCGAGATCACCAGTCCTGATTCATTTCAATGGAGTCTGGTGCGAGAACGCGAGTCCTGTGCGTCGAGGGCGCGGCGCCATAGGAAACCGCAAGAAGTCCTGAGAGAAAGAGAGCGCGATTCCCGTGTAGAACATGTGAGGACATCCCGCGCGAGACCGCTATATCTTGAATGCACTGCAAGGAAGTACACTGCGGCAGCCATTGCTGTAGTAGTCCAGGGCCGAACAACGCAGTTTGAGCTTCAATACTTCTCCTGATAAAAAGCGGGGTGCAAGCCCCGTGGGGGGCACTCAATTTGATTATCATTCTCAGGAAGCTGTCATCCAACAACAATAAGAACACACCGACAACATCGGTACCGCGGGACCTCATTTCAGCCACGCGCCCGGGGACAGTGTAGCACCGCTCGGCTCCCTCACCCTGTCCAGGCCCCATGAGACTCTCTGGACCTGGGAGACTTCGAACAAGGAGAATCGTATGCACCTGCTACGCTGTCTGGACCTTGGAGACCTCGAGTGGCGGGAGAATCCGGTGCGCCGCTCGTTGCGAGCACGATGCCCCTGCACCACCCTTGATGTGTTTTTCTTCGACCTTGTAGACCTGGAGTGGTGACACTCCTGGTGCCCCCACAATGCGGTACGAAGTGTGGGCACGCTCGTCGTCCAGATTCGACCCGATGCCTCGAGACTTCTGTGGGGCCCTGGGGCATGCAGGGTGACGCGGGATTTCGGCGGGGCACGTGCTGGCAGGCCAGCTTCTTCTTTCACGCGCCTGCTGCAATCCTGGGCCTATCGGATGCGTGGCACGCCCAAAACAAAGAACGTCGCACGGGTTGTATTGATCAGGCACCAGGGCGTGTGCAACACAGAAGGGGGAGCACAGCCCGAATTCATAAATGATTTCGCCGGGATGGTGAGGATCAGGCGCTGAAACGTGTACATCGTACTTCCCCAAACCTCTGACGACTCGATAGTTGGAGTCGCCGGACACCAGACCTCTGATTTTTCCGCGGCGCGGATTTTTCATCTCGAACCGTTACTTTACCGTCCCGGGGGCTTGCAAACGGCCTCCCAGCGCCGAACACGCTGCGCACCCTCTGGCGCGACTTCTTCGAGTCGCTGGGAATATGTTTCCCCACCCTCCTGCGCGTTGGGTCTTCACTTTGACTACTAAAACAATGTGGTCTCCAAGCGCCCGCCCTTCCGCCTCCGCACTATTCCTCCCGCTTCCTGTTTGACTGCTACCCTCCTCCCCCGTCGTCAGGACTCCAAGGGGGGGGGCTACCAACAGCGCAACTGTCGGTAGTTTCGAAGGCTCCCTAAGGGTCCAGCAGAGTAGGGGGGCCCCTAGATCCGGCCGAGACCCTGCGGCTCCCTGGGCGGCTGCGACGTGCGCAGCTGCTGGGCGGCTGCGAGTTGCGCAACTGTCGCCAGTTTCGTTAGCTCCTTTGGGGCCTTGGGCCATACAAGTAAACACACACACACAAATAAGAGGATTCCCCATGCTTTCCCATAGCTTCTGGGTTTCTGTCTTCCCCCCCACTTCCCATAGTTTCCCATGTTCTCCTAGGGGATCAACGATTAATTGTGTCTGTGTGTTTCTTTCCCTCCTGATCCTGGGAGGTCCAGCGGTGTCGGGGGCCACGCAGATCCGGCCGAGACCTCGCGGCTCCCACGCCGAGGTGCTCACGCTGACGGCTTGTCAGGGGCGGAGGCCTGAACATTCCCCAGGGCGTCATCGTCGACGCCAGGCATAAACGTCGTCCAGGCCGGGCATAAAACACAAAAAAACACCAACGACTTGGACGCTCTCTGGCTGCACCAGTGCGTCATGCTTGCCAAGCGACAACGCACGACAGCCTGGCCATCATCCGCGCGGCAGACTTTGACCTCCTTCGGGTGCTGGCGGGACTCGATTCCGCGGGACCTGATTTGTAGATGCGCCGTGCCAAGGGGCGCCCCCCTCCCGCCCAGTGCCACCAACAGGAGCTGCTGCCACACGGAAAACAGAAACAGCTACGGCTGACAATGTTTTGGCCTTCGGAGCTCTACAGCATTCAAATCGTCAGCGAAACCCATCTCCTGGAACCCGTTCTGCTGGATGGCGCCGGCGGCATCGCGGAAGAAAACGATCCACAACGGCGGACCGAAAGCAGTACCCTGAAAGATCACGCTTGCCATTGCCATCGCCCGCGCGGAGAGCCGCAGGAACCAGCCCTTGAAGGTGGCGTGTGCGCTCGGCCTTGCCAAGTTCCTGCGCGACTGCACGGAGGAGAGCTACAAGCGGGTTCCAGGCGATGTTGCGCATTGGTTGCAACTTTGGCGGCGCCGTCGGCGACGACCGTTCAAGTGAGAAAGGGCGCACGCCCGCATGGCGGCCATGGCGCGTGGCGCTGTCCCTTCGTTCAGAGCGCAGGGCGCTGGAGCCTCATGTAGCGCATGGGGCTGTCCTCAGTGGCCCACTCCCCCCCCTCCTCAAGCGAATGTCGTCCGCACCGGCAGCGCGGGTAAACCGACCAAATGTAGCGCATGGCGCTGTTACTCTCATCCGTAGTCATTCCGCTTCCCCCTTTCATCCTCCACATCCTCCTCGCCCCATTCTCTCCTCCTCCTCCTCCTCCTCCTCCTCCTCCTCCTCCTCCGCCTCCTCGTCCGCTTTTGTCACCCGTTTCATGCCCCTTTTCGTGCTTGTCGTCGCCGCATAGTTCCGCAGTCAAAGTTGCGCGATATTGTTTGCGATCTGAGTTGTGCAGGTGTACGATGTGCGTTGTCCGATAGTGTTTGGCGAACTTCTTCAGAATGTCGCATATCTCGCAACGTGTGCTTCCGTACCACGCATTGATATCAATAATCGCCTCGCGTGCAGAAAGGGTCGGGTACGTCTCGGATATTTTTTGTTGTCGTTCAAGCCTGCAGTCCAGCACGCACGGGCAATGGAACATCTGGTAAGAGGTCGGCCCCTCACCAAGTGGCGATTCTCGCAGCGTCGGCTGATCTTCCCGCCCTCTCGCCTGGGGGCTTACTCGCTGAAGTCTGGCCCCCCCCCCATCCTCCTCGTCCTCGTCGTCATTCCCTTCACCACTCTCCTCGTCCCCCTACAGTGGAGGCCCGGCCACAAGAAACCTTCCACCAGAAACCCAACCCTGGGACCCCAGGACCTCCATGGATTTTTGGTGCGGGAACGTCACGCCATCCACAGCAAAACCAGCAAAACCCAAGGCACCCGGGGCGCCCTGGAGGCAAGCAAGGTGTTCCTTGGCATGGTCCTCCAGTGTAGATCCCTCCTCCTCCCCCTGCCTCGCCCGGCTCGCGTTCGTCCTCCGCCTGCGCCTCCACCGCTCCCCACTCCGCGCCCCACCGCGCTGCGTCCGACACACTCGCGAAGACATCTTGCTACAGGGAATCTTGGGGCACAATCTTCGTCGACCTTTGAAGGCCCTGGAGGTGCCCCAGGGCGTCTTCGTTGGGCCCTTGAGGCCATCGGGAGTTAAGACAGCTCCGTGGGGCACCTGATGGCTGGCCGACGTCTTCGTCGATGTGCCTAACGCATCAGATATAGCCATAGCCATCAGCATGCCGTGTGGCGAAGCAGTCGGCGTGGGGGCGGCGGCCTCGGCCGCAGCCATGTAAGAATTCTGGCATCGCTCACGCAGATAGCGGTGCTGTCAACTGCAGCACGTCTTTCTGAGAGCTGCCGTGGTGCGACCACGAACGACTGCACGGGCTCCCTCCCGGGAAGGGGGTGCCGAGATCCAGGACTTGACGGCCTGTCGTGCACCTCAAACGCGTAAGAGGTCAGGTGCGGGTGCACCAAGATGAACATACTGAGGGAACATCCTGGCAAAGTGCACCAGAGCAGGGGACGGCCTTCCGTAGATCGGCACTGGTGCGTCCTTGCCTTTGACCTTGTACTTCTCGAGGAGCTTCTCTATCTGCGGCGCCAGCTCGGTCATCTCAGACAGCTTCTCGCTCAACCTCGTCACCACGGCCTCCAACTTCGCCTCGTCGTCTGGGCCGTCCGCTGCTGCCGGTGGTTCCGTGGCCCTCCGGAGGAAATCCCCGAAGTCCGCCTTCCGCATGAACTTGAGGAAGAGCTTCTCAGATACAACCTTCCCACCCTTGAAGATCACACCACCTTGGGGACTGACTGACCCGGGACAGTGCAAACCCGGGTCAGTCAGGCCTTGAAGGATCCTGCAAGATCCTGCAGGATCCCGCGGGATCCTGCACCCAAGCCCGGGTCAATGCTCTCCTGGCCCTGCAGGATCCTGCAAGATCCGGCGCTCTGGCTGACTCCCGTTTGTACTGACCCCCGTCTCTTGAGCCCCGACCGCCTCCCTCGCCGAACTCGTCCGGCCCGAGCGAAGCCAACTTGGCCTCGGCGGCCGCGCCGTCGGCGAAGGTCTCGACGGCCAGGCCGAAAGAGTCGGGGTCAAGCCAGACCTGACACAAGACGAGCGGCCTAATCACAAGCGGATGCCCGCGCGGATGGCTCGAATCGGCGCTGGGCCTGGCGCAAGAAAAAGGGCCGGGAGGGCGCTGCCACGGGGGGCCCAGCGCAGATCCAAGAGATCCGTGCGGACCTCCGAAAGTGTATGAATAGGAGGTGTGTCCGGCCCTCATCCCAGGTCTCGTGGGGTTTTCGAACGGACTCGACATTTGTGGCCGAAAGCCTGGGACATACGATGGGGGGGGCGTCCATCCTCGATAGGGGTGCATCCGAATAGCCCCCTTGGGGTGCATCCCAGACTTTACTTCCTTTGCTGAGCGGCTTCATCTTTCGTCGAAAAGTCGGGGGTCGGGGGAAGAAATCGCCAGCGATGTATTGGAGGCCTGGGAATGGGCACCAACACCAACACAGGAGGTTGCCCACAGGAGGGAACCGATCCTAGATTGTGGTGTTGGTGGTAAGTGTTCGGCCACTTCGAGAGCCCGAACATCACCACCAGCACCGAGATCGGGAGCATCCTCCCTCGGTGAAGGCACACCGCTGATCTTGGTGTTGGTGTCAACCTCTAGGCGTCCGCATGTATGCTTCTGCCGTTCTCTTCTTCGACGACCAGCTGGTAGAGGGAGGGGTCCGAGGCCCGCTCGCGCGCGCCCTCGGAGAGCAGCGGCTCCTCCGCGCCTTCCACGAAGACAGGGCCCAACCACTCCGCGTCGATTGCCTCCTGGGAGGGCGCCATTTATACAAGGCCTGGAACATATCCCTATCCCTATGTTGGGCATCGCCTCATCACGATGGCGATCTTATAGGGATTCCCTCAGTTTCTGAGGGTGCATCCCTAAGATTGTCATCGCCTTTTGGCGTGTCAATCTCAGGGATAGGGATAAGTTCGAGGCTGGTAAATTTATACAAGGCCTGGAACTTAGTGGGCCCTGGAAACGACAGGGCCATTTTTTTACCGGTCCCGTTTTGCCGTTTTGCTGCCGGATCCGACGCCGTTTGTTTAGCGGTTCCGTCGCCGTTGTTTTACCAAGTCCGGCTCTGGTTCCAGTCCTGGAGCCGTTTGTTTGCCGTTTCCGGTCGCCGTTTTCTTGCCATTTCCACTTTCAAGAGACAATTTTTCGGAAACGGTGAAAAAACGGCCCTGCCGTTTCTGGGGCCCACTACGGCCTGAAGGCGCATACACGGTGCGCCCCTCACACGGCTCGTGACCCGTAGGGAGATCAGCCGACGATCCCAGTGGCAAGGTCCAGCCCAAGGCTGGGCTAACGGCCATGCTGCTTCACCGTGATGTTGGGAACCAAATTGTAGGAAATCGCGAGCCACAACTTCCGACATTTCCCATCTGCGAGTGTATCGAACGGAAACGGCACAGCGAATTGCAGGACAGCGCGAGCCCCACTTGCCCACAATACCGAAACCTACATCGCCGTTACCTACATCGCCGTTAGCCCGTCTACGGTCAACATGGCGGCGCCGCCCAATTTTGGTGCACCCTTCACACTGTTCCTGGCCCCATAGGGATCTCAGCCGAAGGCCCCAGTGGCAAGGTCCGCACGGCGGCGCCGCCCCTTTGTGGCACACCTACACTAGAGGCCTTCTAGATGAGGTCCGAGTAGATGGGGTCGGATGATCGCGCCGCATCGCCGATGCATCGCCGATGCATCGGCGATGCACCGGCAACTTCAACAATACATCGGCGACGCCAGCGTGGAGAAAATCGGGCTTGACATCGAGCCGCATCGCCGATGCATCGACGATGCGGCGCGATTCTCCGACCCCATCTACTCGGACCCCATCTGGGAGGCCTAGAGTGGCAGGGTCCACGTGGCGGCGCCGCCCCATGTTGGTGCACCCCTTCACACGGTTCGTGGCCCCATAGGGATCTCAGCCGAAGGCCCCAGTGGCAAGGTCTCCACACGGCGGCGCCGCCCCTTGTTGTGGCGCGCCTGCACCGATCCTGGCCAGGTCGATCCGGGCCCGGGATCGACCTGGCCAGGATCGGTGCAGGTGTGAGCCTCATGGGAGCGTCCCGTACCATCTTGCCAGCTCTTGCGAATCGACGCTAGTCGACGCTAAATCGACGCTAATCGAAGCCACATCGACGCTAATCGACGCTAGCCGACGCTAAATCGGAGCTACCTCATCGACTTCAGACGCGAATCGATGCTAACGGTAAAGACGGCATTAAGAGGGTGCCCGAGGCTCCCATGATCAGCTACCGAAGGCAACCACGCGTGAACCCCGCCCTGCAGGTCAAGCTTATGAAATGCCAGCTGGGGACCAGCGCTCGAAGGACCTCTGCGGCCAAGTGCACCCCAGCGGGGGTGCCCGATGCCTCAGCGTCGAGTGGAACCGCAGGGGCAGGGTCCACACGGGGTACAGTCGGTGCCTTGACCTAAGGAACCCTAAATAAGGAACGGGGCCCCTTTCTCCCATAAGTTGAACTTCGATTTCCCATGGAAAACCTCAGGAAAACAGAAGGCAAACTGTAGAACAATCAAGGAACATCGAGCCCCTCCCCAACGAAAAGGGTTCCTTCTTCAGGGCCCCGGCTGTACCAGAGCAGCTCCGGTATGGTTTCCGATCGGGGCTCTCGTCGACAGGACAATGGCTGCGGCTCCCGCCGCTCGTGCTCCCGCTGCTGCCCGTGCTGCTTGCCGGCCACTCTTCCGCTCGGCCCGCCAAGCCGCTCACCCCGCCCACAGGAACCCCCGAACAGTTCTCCGCCACCGTGCCGCTGGGCACTGAGCGGGCGTGCTCTCAGGTCTTTTGCCCAATGCTCTAAGCCCCAATCCTCACCCCGGAGGAGTCTTCCAAGGGCCCGGAGACCAAATCGCCAAATCTCCCATGAGAAGGAGAAGGAGGAGGAGAAGCATGATGATGATGATGATGAGGAGGAGGAGGAGGAGGAGGAGGAGGAGGAGAAGGAGGAGGAGGAGGAGAAACATGATGATGAGGAGGAGGAGGAGGAAAAGGAGGAGGAGATGATGGCGGAGGAGGAGGAGGAGGAGGAGGAGGACGAGGAGGAGGAAAAGGGAGGAGGAGGAGGAGGAGGAGGAGGAGGAGGAGGAGGGGGAGCAGATAGCTTGCGCCCCTCGATCTCCGCGGGCAGGCCGGCCGCACGCCACGCGCGCCCGTACGCCCGGACCCTCCCGTCGACCTCGGGCTGCCCGAGGGCCGCCCTCAGCAGTGCGTCCACCTCGCCGTTCCCGAGGACCTGCAGGGAGAAGAAAAAGCACCACCACCACCACGACCACCACCTCCACCACCGCCACCACCACCACCACCACCGCCACCGCCACCACCACCACCACCACCACCACCACCACCACCACCACCACCACCACCACCACCACCACCACCACCACCACCACCACCACCACCACCACCACCACCACCACCACCACCACCACCACCACCACCACCACCACCTGGGGGCTGGAGGCAGCGGGTGGTCAGGGGTGGTGGCGGCGCATCTCGCTTCGTAGAAGAAGAAAAACCGGCACACCCCCACACACACACACATAAGTGTTTGGCGCTGCGCGCGGATTGCTTGGATTTGCGCTGGACCCGAGCGCGCCAGGGGCGGCGCCTGGGGGGCGCCGCCAGGGGGGCCCAGGGCGGATCCAAGAAATCCGCGCGGAGCGCCAAAGATTTTATGCTTATTGCGTTTTTTTGTTCCTCTTCGACTTCGGGCGCTTTCGCGGGACGTCGTACACGCCTGCATCCCGCACACCAGCTCGTCCTGAATCCTCCCAGGGTGGTGGTGGTGGTGCGCTTCCTGCTCCCGAGCCTGGGCCGCGCCGCGCGCGGCCAGGAGCCCGAGCGGCAGCACCGCCCGGAGGAGGTCCGATGATCCTCAGAACGTGTGCTCGCGCCAACGTGCGCCACGCGATGCCGCCCCGCGCCCACTCTCCTCCTCCTCCTCCTCCTCCTCCTCCTCCTCCTCCTCCTCCTCCTCCTCCTCCTCCTCCTGCCAGGCCACGTCAGCACAGGCTGGCCGCCCCAGCCACTCCAGCGGAAGCTCTTCGCGCTGTGGGTGCCCTCCCTCCTCTGCCGCCCTCCGCGGCCGCGCCCGCTTCGTTCCCTCACCCTTGGCTCTGGACAACTGGTGCCCGCCATAGCCCGCCTCACCGGAGCGCGCGTGCGGATGGCCTCTGTGGCGGCGCGACGGAGCAACTTCTCCACCATGGGGGAAGCGGGCCTTGAGGGAGGCGGGTCCTGGATCCTGGCGCCCTCCCCCCATGACGAGCTCTTCACCCCGAGCCGTCTTCCGACAGCACTTGGGGCCCGTGGAGGGCCCCCGGGAGCCCGACGAGGGCGCAACGCCTCAGGACCCGTCTCTCCCGCAGGACCCGCGCCGCCCGTGGCGAACGACGCAGGCGGTGTATAATGTAGCGAGGGCCGGCAGAGGCTGCGTAAGACAGGGCTGAACCTGAACGGTGTTTTTCGTTATCGTTTTGTTTTCGTTTTCCCTCGCTTTTGTCTCGAATCCGCCTTTGCCGCAAAACGAAGTCGAAACGAAAACGGCCCACGAAATCACCAAAAACACCGTTTAGGTCCAGCCCTGGCGTAAGATACGGGCGGAGCTGCATGGGGCCACGCGCACCTTGGGCCAGCGCGCGTCCTGGGGACCATCGGGAGGCGCATGTGGGCTGCGGCCCCCGCAGGGGCGGGGCGCGTTGCCCCGAGGGGGCGAGGCACGCGCCCGTGACGAAGCCGGGGCCTGGGGCGAGACCGGAGCGGGACGGGTCGGGGATCCCTCTGGGCTCTGGCGGCCCAGGAGGATGTGTCGGGCGCCGCGGCCGTTCCAGAGCGCCGCGGGGCGCTCCGAGAGCGTTCCGGAGCGCTCTGGGCAATGTGTCCCGGTCCTGGCCCCGCCCGGCGTGTGCTTGGCGGCACGCGGGGCGGGGGCAGCCGAGCCGCGCAGGCGTGGGCAGCGGCGGCGGGGCCGCAGCTTGGAGCCGCAGAGGGGGCGCAGCGCCGGGGCGGAAGGAGTCTCCGCAAGAGAGTGAAGCTGACGCGCGGGCCCCAAACGGACGCTTCGCGGAGCTCGTACGGAATGGCATGTGTAGAGAGTTGAGGCTCAAGGAGCAGGAACCAAACCCGATGGCGCGGAAGAGTCGGTTGGCCCCGCCCACTCCCAGGCGACCTCCCATGACAGAAGAACCATTGCCGGCACAGGTGTGGACAGCGGGACTGGCGCGCGGTCCCGCTTTGCAAGCAGGACGGCGCTCGCGTGCGCGCGGCCCCACGTCCGACGTCGCGGAGGAAAACATGCGCCGCGCCCAGGCGGGAACATCACTTCCAGGGACAAACACTGCGCGAGTCTTTGGGCAATATCGACATTTCGCTCTCCCGGGCGCGGACCCGATCCTGACTTTGGGTAAACAAACACTCGCGCAGTGCCTAAGCGGGAATTCAATGTCCAAGACGATCATCAAGGCGCCGGGGCGAGAACCATCGTTTGCCTTTTCGCGCGCAATTTTCGCGCGTCCAATTCCCGCCGTGCATCTTTTCAAAGCCGACGACAAGAGCGTCGATGCCGAAAGGAACAACGACGATTTTGCGAGGACCGCCAGGTAGGGGACTGGGGGCATGTATACAATCACCGTGCTACCAGAAGGAAACCCGAATAAGAAACGAACGTGATTTTTTGGACACGGCAAACCTCTGTCACGAATATGTTCCACGACCTCGAACAAAGGAACGGCCGGAAAGGTAAGGCCAGAATGGACATGTTTTGCGTTCGTAGACTCACTTTTTTTGTGGAGCTGAGCGAACTGGCACTAACTGCCCGCCCTGGCACTGACTGCCGAGCGATCCGTGACCCAAGACGTTTTACCAACACGGTTAGCGACCTCAAGCATGCTTTAATGCAGACTGCGCAAAAACATCGAAAATCAAATCCCCCCTTCTGAACTCGAAGCGATCCTCAAGTCAGAGTCTGCCCGCGAGCCACTTCCATTCACTCCGATTGCCTCGGCCTCGCGCAAGTGCCCTCTATCCGCTGGGAAAGGGTAGCGACCAGAAAACGCTTCTTCGCAGGTCTGGGCATCCAGATTTAAGTCGGGCCTGTCCCCCATACAGGGGGATTTCCGACGAGAACTAGCAAAGACTCAAAAAATGCTCCAACATGGGCAACACAAAAAGCTGAAAAAGATAGTCCCCCGACTATTTTTTTGACTATTGTTGAAGATCCCTCCTGTACGAGGGACAGGCCCGACTCAAAGCCCGATGAGGAGGGCCCCGCCCTGGGTCGGGGAACCCGTGGGGGCCCCTCCGGACACGGCGGGCCTCGGTCACGGGCAGGTCCCACGACCTCGAGCTGCCGCAATCGCGGGCGCCGGGACATGGCAGCCCCTCCTCTCGCCATGGCTCGGACGTCCCTTTGCCGCGCCTTTGTCGGTTTCGTGCGCGTTTTTTTGGTTGCTCGATGGTCCAGGATGCTCCTCGATGGTTCTCGCCGAGGAAAAATGCCCACGTCCGAGCGATGCCAAGTCCTGAGCCCGATGCGTTCCTCATGTCAGCGTCCCGGCTGTGCACCCGAGCCCCGCACCCGCAGGTAAGAGCGAGGGGACGCCCAGGCTGCGGGTCTCGGACGCCAGCGCAGGGAGGAAACCCGCCGAGGACTCCGACTTCTCTGGAGGCCCCCTGGGGAGTCCCAGCGTACACGATCGATAGCTCAACTATCCACGCCCCTGCCCGCGCCCCGACCCCACGTGCGTACCCAGGGAACGCGGCGGTCCTTGACTCCGATCACCGCCGAGTGAGCTGGAACCGCACGGTTGCGGCCAGCGCACGAGCCCGAGGCTTGGAGAGGAGAGTGAGCGCTGTCGCCCTCTCGTCATTGATGGTGTTGTGGATAGACGCCTGGCCTCCCATGGGCCACCTATGTTTCTCCACTCCCTGCCCCCCCCTGGCGCCCAAAAGCAGGGGGCAGCAGCTTGGGTAGGGATCGAACATCGATCGCCGGCAAGAAATCTCAGCGGGCGCTCCGGCGAGTCCAAAGCCGGTACAGCATAACCCCGAAGCAGTTGCACTGCGCGGAACAAGATGCATGGACGGTAGATTCCCTAATCAGTGCGGCCGGGTACCCAAGTTCCCGCTTCCTGGCCGGGTTCCTGGCCGGTTTCCTGGCCGGGTTCCCAATTCCGGGTTCCTGGCCGGTTTCGGTGGGCGGCTGGGCTTCCCGGGTTCCCCGTTCCTGGTTTCAAGGCTGCCGAGAGTGGAAAGTCGGCTGGGTTCGCGGGTTCCCGATTCTGAGGTTCCTGGTAACGTATAAGGTTGGCTGGGCAAGGTTGGCTGGGTTCCCCGGGTCCCGGTTCGGTGGGCGGCTGGGTTAAAAGGCTTCCTGCTCCCGATTCCAGGGTCCCTGGAAGGTTTGGTAGGTGTCCTGCTTCCCGATTTCCGTTTCTGGATTCCTGGCAGCGGAAGGTTGTGGGATTCTGGATGTCCTGGTTGTGGACAGGTGCTTGGGTTTTTTTTTATCGTAAAGTGTATACATGGGCCAGAGTCTTGCGAGCAGAGTTGTTCAGAGGGGTTCGAGAACGAGAAATGGAAAGACAGAGAGAGAGAGAGAACTTGCGACCGCTACTAGAAGAAATACTGAATCATGGATGAGGAGGTCAGAGTGAGAGGGTAAGCCAAATAATGATCAAGAGAGAGAGGTACATGGAGAGGAATATTCTGATATACTAGACGCATGATAGGCACGCAGTCATCGAACATAGAAGTATACATTATAAACATAAACACGTAAGCATACACATACACAAATACATACTATATACACTATACGTTTAAGTATGCAGATGTCATGTGCGTATGTGTGTGTTCATGCTCATGTGTAACTGAGCAGAGGTATGTGTCACGAGGATGCAGAGCGAGGTGTGATGGCATATCATTTAGGCAGAGATTATATGTACATCAAAGATATCTGCAACAGAGAGAGAGAGAGAGAACGATAGAGAAGGAGAGGACAAGCGTGGAGTGCATACGAGCATTCCAACATATCCGCTGATCGAGGTTATTCTGGTGTAGTCTGTTAATGTATGCATATGTATGTATATATATGTATTAGAGTGGGCCCGTGGGTTAAGTCCACGAAGCTGCGTGAGTCGAAATATGCTGACACGCGCTTTTGTTCCTGGCGCTGGAAATCCGTTCCTGTGACCTCTTGAGGCCCTCTTGGGGGTTCCTCCTGGGGCCGTGCTGGGAGTTTCTTGGGGGCCTCTGGGTGGACCTCTTCGGGGCCTCTGCGGCCGTTTTGGTGCGATCTTGGGGGCTCGCTGGGCCGTCCTGGGGGCCTGAAGCTCGAAAGCGCAAGTAGGTCGAGTTCGATTAAGACCCTACGGGAAGTCACTGCTTTGGGCCTCTCGTGGGTCCTCCCAGGGCATCTTGGGGCGCATGTTGAGCAGTGCCGAGGGCATCTTGGACAAAGCTTGGGCCGTCCCGGGGTCCTCTTTTGAGAACACCCTGGGCCGTCGAGGGTCCGTCTTAGGCAGACTCGGGGCCCTTCGCCGCTTTGGAGCTCTCCTGGCACCCTCTGGGCCCCCTCGGGTGCTCTCTGGCGCCGCAAGGACCGGTCCCACACAAACCCAGAACGAGCATGTCGGATCTGCTACAAAAGAGGATTTCGGAAACCCTGAACCCAGAAACGTTTTCGTCTCTTAGGGGCACATCTTTTACTTCCGCCGCATTCCGCCGAACTTCCGCTGCCGGAGGCGGCCTCGTTTCACTTCCGCCGACCTTCCGCCGCCCTTCCGCCGCCTTCTGCCGCGGAAGAGATGACAACTCCCTTTATCCTCTCAGGCAAGGCCCTTTTTGGAACGCCCCAGATGGGTGAGCATAGAACGCTCTTCCTGTGATGAGGTTTGGGGGCGGGATGGGCGAAGTTGTTTATTTTGTGATTGACGTCCGATCGGGTTCGCAGTCTCTCTGTATCTCGACCTCGATGTCTACCGATCTTACTAACTACCCGCCGATCTCACAACCTTTCTACAAACCTCACTGCAGAACAATTCAAATCGCAGCCAATGTATCGACTTCATGACCCATGCCGATAGCACTGTTGATCGGTCACCCTATCTGAAAATTCCATTGCCAACACATGTGTATATAAAAATATGTGGAGGTAATTGTATATACACAAATCGGCCTCTAAATCAATAGTCTTGATCTGAATTGTCTACACCCTGTGTACTCGCAACAGTTCTACACACATGTAGATTTCTTCGCAGAGTTGCATTGGAATTCTGACCTCGCTTCACACTGTGATTGCCAGTGAGTCGTTATTGGAAATGCATGTCGACTCACGTTGCGATTTGCGTCTCAGGATCGATGTCCAATTCTGTGCATAATGAACATTTCAGTGTTTGCATGTGGAAAAGTATTATCATGGTAATGTCGCTTTGAACTTCGATGTGCACGTAGAGCGACATGCCGATTGTCATCGGATGTCTTGCATCCTGATCATGCAGAATTTCTCCTCGAGGACTCGTAGTATATTTCGGTGTGCATATCGATTCGCACTTATATTGACAGTCGATGCGAGTTCCCATGATACTTCTGACTCGCATTTCGCAATATCTCGACTACAAAAATGGATGTTCATTCCCATTGCCATTGGATTTGCGTCCAGGCTTGCATCTCCCAGCAGGACAACTGACGCGACAATCACGGGACATCCTGCGGGACGACCCATGGCACAACCTATGAGACGGGACAACGGCTGGACAACCCACACAGGGACCGCGGTACAACCGCGGGAGAATCACGGGACAGCCGCGGCACAACACTGGCGAGGCACTCCAGGACCAAAGCAGCAGCTTGCTGTGCCACCTGGCCCTGGCCTCGGCCGACACATAACCGCCCTCGCCCAGCCTCGCCTCGCCTCGCCCACCACGAGCCGAAGCCAGACCCGATTTCCCGGTGGGGGCCACGTCGCTATCGCTCCCCAGTTGC